AGAAGTGTGCAAAAACAATTCCGCAAAATCTCGGCAACCTGCAACGCCATCTAGCAGTAACCTCAATGCCTATACTTCAGGCGGAAATTAAGAAGCCTATTCCAACGTATATGTATATATGTAACCTCTTTTCAAAGAAAAAGAATTGTTGGACGCAAAAAATGTTGCATCATGTAGAGGTTATTTACAGGCGCATACCTTTTTTTAGGTGTTTTTCGTATAAATCAGAAAAAAAAAATCAATGGCTGACCTTACATATCGACCCCTTAATCATGGAAGTATACTACCATTGCTCAATGTTGAATCTTCACTGAGAACTAAATAAGACTAAATAAATCTAATTAATTCTCTTGTAATGGACTTTTGAGCTCCGCGAGATGAAACCGGCAATTCACTACAAATTTTATAATTATATTTGGCAAACTTTTTTCTGATCCGAGGATATAGAAATTTGAATACGTGTAACGTGATATTGGCTCCATAAAAGCAATTATAGCCATGCTTGCCAAATATGAGTGAAACAGTGTCATTTTTGTCATTCTATCCAAACGGCCCGCCTATCCCGGGGCTTCTTTCGGCGAATTACGCATTGATGCATAATTAGGCTTTCGTTATTTTTCCTTACCTTAACAGCAGCTTGTGACTGCAACGGTTATTTTCTACGTTATTCGAGTCATGAATGGTTAGGAAATTTGACTTTCAAAAGTCTGGAGATCTTGAACTTTTTGACGTTTCTTATAAATATCCTTGGATAAGAAATTATTTATCGATTAACTTATTTGGAGATGCCATTTTTCATTATGGATCTAAGTTTCATCAATCAACAAAATGTATGCACCAACATTACTTTGCAAAAAGATTCATTCATTTCTACTCCAAAGAATATTTGAAGAGTTAGATCCCAAGTTATTCAACGACATCTCGGTCCCAAAGGAAAGTTGCTTTATAGAAGATGGAGTTCATCCTGCTCATTATAAATGTCGAATTCCCCAACAATACTATAGACCAACCATATTATGTGAAAACCAAGCCTGGTTATTCTACAACCTCTTCCATGTGGTTGAGCACTTACCACTAAGTGATCTGAATTACCAACTTATAGTTTATTTATTAGAACACAGAATGTTATATCTTAAAAAAGAAAGCATAAGCGATATCACCAGAGAAGATATTTTGGATGCCTTTACATATGTTATTCAAAACGCTGATCCGGAAACCCTCATATTTGGTGAGTTGAAGGCTGGTTTTATAGTATTCCTTAATGGAGACCGTTTGCTTGAACATTTCGTTGATCAGATTTTATACTTTATTGAAAAGGTTAAGATGACAAAACATGGTTTAGATAATGCTTTGTCAATGGCTTCGGCTTTCAATGTTTTCATGTATCCCAAGTTCCATGAAAGAATAAAGAAATTACCATTTGAAGAATTTAATTTACTAGAGGATTTTACCTTGTACTATATTTATAAATTTCTACTAGATAAAGATCACAAATATCCCCTTATTGATGACATCACTTTACAGTATGCAACCCAAACACAAAAAGCTATTAGTGAAGAAACTGCCCTAGAGTTATCACTTGCAATAATTGATCTCGTTACTTTGGTCCCGATTGAATCAGAGCCAACAATGGATTGGCTAAGTATTTGTCTTCAAGAGTATGAGAAACGGTTGGGTACATTTGAAAGCCGCTGGCTGCAAACTTCTAGTAAAACATCTTGAACCGTTTCCAAACTAATATTTCCTTTGGAAAGAAAATACTTGTTCCTTCTCCAGGGTTACACTTGACTTCAACATGTACGACAATGAGTAGGGATTTACTTTCTTAGGCATATATTATTATTATATTTATTCTATGTACAATACAATAGATAGGTTGAAAGAATATTTGTTATATAAGTAACGTTTCTAAACTGTGATAGCGGCATAAAAAGTCGAAATAAAGTTTATTTTTTCTATATATGCTGCTAATAGAAAGGGTGGTGTATATGTTCCAGAAGGTTGCCAATATTAGTAGTCAAGAAACTAAATCGAAATTCTGACCAGATTTGCACCAAAATTACCAGACAAGAAATTTCCTTATTGGACCTCTGCAACAATTTGCCAATGACTAAGTCCGGTAATTTAGAAAAATGAATATGTGAATTGCATTTACTTCCACTTTGTTTATCTGAATTTCGAAATAACTGACCTTAGACTGAAATGGTAGCGCACACTTCGAATTTATGGCCAGTAATAAACTACCCCAAATAATGTTATTCTAGAAAAAAAATCAATCTGCTTAAGCGTAGAGTTTTTTCCAAGCATTTCCTTACTATTGACTAGTAAATTTAGCCTCTTCCTAACGAAATAATCTGAAATATTGGCAGATTTCGGTGGTCTTAGAAACCAATTTGATGGTAATTTACGGCAACTTGTCCGAGCGGTTAAGGAGAAAGACTTGAAATCTTTTGGGCTATGCCCGCGCAGGTTCGAGTCCTGCAGTTGTCGATATTTTTTTGCAACCATTTGTAACTCAACGCAATGGCAATTGTTAATAGATTTCGTAGAAAATTGATTGTTCTAATGTTCAAAAAACTCTCTATGCTTCAGTTGCCTATTTGGTACAGGTACAATTTTTTTTTCGCCTGACATTATCTTGCATAAAAACTTTTTTTGTATGGGGAAAAAATAAGCGAAACTAAATTGTTCGCCGAATTTCTTTGTGCTATGATTCACATTACATTTAGCTAGCCTCAACCCTTATATAACCCGACATGACAAATACACTTTTTCACTCTAGCAAGACAATTGTTTAATTGCCATTCTCCACTGAAGAAACTTTAGCATTCATCAAACTTAGTTCAGATACGCGACCTTAAGAATCAATTATTTTCATGCCGTTGAATAAAAGTGAATTATGTAGGCATAATCGATAAACCATTTGAGGTGGTCCAACTTCGAAAATGTGCTTCATATCAGCAATGTCCCATAATATTCCAGGTTGATATCTTGGCTCACTGGTCTTTTAGGTTGCATTAACGGAGATCCGTGGTGACTTCATTATTCAACGACCATTGATTCGTTTCTATGGGAGAATGCTCGTAGAAGAACTCCAAAACGATGTTAGAAACGCTAATACTCAGCTAGCCGTATGGGAAGATGTGAATTTAAATCCAAACTTGAATAGTCGTCCGTTATTCAAAGTCCAACTCGGCTCCAATTCTATCCTGTTAGCAAGGGTGTATTACAGGCGTAGAATGCGACATTTTTTGCAGCCAGAAGCTGCACACAAAACAAAAGCGCAAATTTTATCACTTGCCACAAGCTCAAGTACTTCTTTATTATTTATGCAAGCTATTGCAGAGAGCTAAAACTGGGGCTTAAACCATGTATGCACATGTCCGAACGACTCCAATTTGTCTTTGTGTTTTGAATCAAGTCTCTGGAATTCAGAATTTTTTGGTGGAGGGACTCAACTTCCCACCCTGTATAACAGGACAAAGGACCTCTCATTTTATCTTCCAAAAATAATACACCAAAGTGTATCAGCGCTTTATTGTTGTCTACGAAAGGTACAGATATTATGAGATTTTACTCAATTTTCATTACAAATATTAAGCTAGAAAAAACGTCTACATCTAACTAAAATCTATTTCTTTCGTTTTGTTACCTTTTGCAAAGAACCAGAGATTTCTGATTCATCTGTTTTAGACCTAACCACTTTTTCAGAATTAGTCTCTTTACTTCTATTTTCTATAATGTGACTCTCATCAATATCTTTTTCATTATTCTTATCATTCTTCTCATTCTCTTCAGGCTTTTTCACAATAAGTGGGGCTCTTGATGACCAAACGAACCAAATAAGCACAATTTCAAACAAATCAACAATAAGCAAGTTAATCTCTTGCCAAGCAATAATATTCCCCATAGAATAAAGTATTTCATTCACATCAAAAACTCCATCCAAGTTAATTTCCAACGATTTCATAATCCCCAAATGTCTAAACATGTATGTCCAACCAACTAGATGAAAAAGTATGGAGTAGAACATGGGTTTGGAAAGATTCTTTTGGTTTGTCTTTTTGAAATATCTGTTTAATTTGATTCCACAGACAAGACATTGGAATTGAAGAATCACACCTGTTACGATCTGAATTAGGGTGAATAGTGTGATTGATTTTTTGATAAATGATGTTTCGCTATTAATTGTGGAACTTTTGTTTAATGAGTTAACCAATATTGAAGCGTGAAGGACTTCATATGAGTGGCCATTAAAGGTGAGATCCTTAGTTGTTCTTGTGGATTGCATGATTTGTTTTGCAACCACCATTGAAGCAGCATGTATGATAAACAAGAAGGTAAATACCTTTCTGGTAGTTTTCATTCTGAATAAATCCCGATATGCAGCACCTAAATAGATCAATGAGATCAAGTAACCTTGTAAATTAATTAATACAGTCTGGAAGTCAACGTAATAATTTTGCATAAATGAGTAAAAATACCCACAATGAATGATATGGACAACAGCATCCATAATTACAAAAGCAAAGTAGTACACAAAATTGCTTCCAATTACAATCTGGAGAATTTTTGGAATATACGGCACGGTTGACAGCTTGGGTGCTGACAAGACTGGAAAATAATACCTAAGCAATAACCACATACTGCCATAAACAGATGCAAGGACAATATGAATGGATAATTCGTGTCCAAGATTCATTGGAACTGCTTCATCCTTGATCCTAATATGGGCATAGGTTCCTTCCAGGTAGATTTGATACTGTTTCTCTGTCAATGGAAAGTAGACACAATATACGCCCTTTTCCATTACCGGATATTCAATTACTTCATCTTCATTAAGGGAATAGTTCTTGGCTGATTTGGGCAAAAAATTTCCATCGATATCTGCTAGATCAAATTTTAGATCGCTACGATCATCAATCGCAAAGTGATTTGAATTATCAACAAATTGATTAAAATTAGGAACATTGGTGAATCTATATAAGTCATCATATTTAAAAACCATCAATGGAACTTGCTCTACTACTTGCGTGACATCGATGACTAACTTAGTGCCCTTAGTAGGAGTTTCAACCATTATGCAAGCAGCATTTGTTTTTTGATCCAAGTATACTTGTCTATTGGAGAACCCAAACACGACATCCAACTGGACAAGAAAGAAAGCACACAACCATATAAATAAACTCTTCATAGTTGATATATCATAGAAGAAGATTCATTTACTTTAAAGAAAGAAAATCAAACTTATAAATGGAACTCGTCGATAGTGAAAAAGTCCGAAATTTCCTCTTTAGGCAAAAAGGCGCTGTGCTTAAAAAGGGTCCTTGAGTTTTCAGGAACTTCTTGAATTTTAACTCTGGAAACAATCTTCAAGATACAACGGGAGTAGTGTAGGATTTCCAGAAGTTCGTTAATTGATTGGATATTTCCAACCAAAGGATGATTGTAGATGGATCTGAAGTCCCAAAAAGAACTACGAGCCCTGACGGGTGCTGCATGAAAAATAAAATATTTTTTGGCACTCTTTCCTATTTTGCAAGAAACATGGAAGACTTGTCAAGATCCAGCAGACTATCAATTGAACCCAGATACGATAAAGAATTAGGATATGGATATCTACTATCAGTCGAAGAATTTAAATCAAAATTTATATCGATGGCTATAAAAAAACTACACATTTACACAAATGTACAAAGCCCTTTATTGGAATAAAGTATCTTCCATATGAACATTATATCTCAATCCCTTAATAGGATGCTTTTCAAAAATTGCATCAATATTCTTCAAATCTTCATCAGTCAATTCAACAAAATTTGAAAAATTAGCAGTAACTCTTTCTTTAGTAGATCCACTTGGGATTGGTAAAATATGAGTAACTTGATCAATTCCTCTAAAATTCTTAGCTCCCGAAACCTTCAAAATCCAAGAAAGTGCCAATGATTCCAATGATGTTCCCTTCACATCATGAGCATAATTGTATAATGCTTTTAAGGCAGGTAAGTTATGTTCAAAGTTTTCTGGTTGGAATTTATCAAAATTATGTCTGATATCACCCTTTGGAATGTCAGATATGAAAGTATCGGCAGTTTCAACGGCAAGATCGGTCAAAATACCACGACAAAGTGGAGAATAAGCAACTAATGGGATTTTATGTTTGGATAATTCAGCTAAAATACCGGTGGAAATAACTTCTTGGGCAAATAAGTTCAATTCCAATTCAACACAGGAGATTGGAAATACTTGAATTGCTTTATTAAGGGTTTCGATACCGACTTCAGAAAGCGAAATACCATCAATGGTACCATCTTTAACGAAATCAGCAATATATCCAATAGTTTCTTCATATGGGACTTTTTTATCAACTCTAGCGATTTCAAAAAGGATCTTTGGACGGTTTTCCTTTGGGAAATACGAAGCAACATTCTTAATTGATCTTGAAATATTTTCTTTACTTCCATCTGTTGCTAAAGTTTCGGTAAGACCACCTTTGATAGATACGACTAAATTTTTAAGAATTTCAGGATCACTGGCTTTAAAAAATTCTTCAAAGACTTTTAAGTTTGCATCATTTGGACCATAGAATTCACCTCCATTAAGTAATTGGACACCAAATTCTGGATGAGTAGTTACGAATTTTAAAGTTTCGACGGATTGCTTAATTGGGGGAGGAGTTGGTTTCCAAGTCATTGACATGGTACCGAAACCAAAAGTTCCAGGGATGGCAACAGGAGAATAAGTCATTTTTTTTATTAGGGGATTTGTATTGAATTGATTAGTGTTGAGATATGAATGAGGTTGAATTAGTTACAAGGTTCTTGGAAGTGATATTTATACTTCTTTCGGAACGGGTTGTTTGTCTGATAAGAGCCGATGGGATGAATGTGCTGGTCAAAATAACAATTGATTTTCTATTGCCGTACTGTTCCTGTTTGAGAAGAAAATCTCGACAGAACCCGTAAAATTTCGCACTTACCCAATTAGGAACTTACCTCCGGAAATAATTCCATTTAACAATTGATTTAGTTAATCTTTGAACCGAGACTAATTTCATCTCGATCCTGGAAGTTTTCAATCGGGATTTGAAAAGATTATACATAACAACTCCCATATTCTCGAAGGAACGGAATCCATTTGATAATCTCCGCTATTCTGAATGATCCTTTTTTTTTTGCATATACAATCTTAATAGAATTGAGTTAGTCAAACCTTGAGCCGAGACCAATTTCATCCCGATCTTGTGTATTAGGAACGGAATCTATTTGATAATCTCCGCCCTTCTGAGTGATTCCTTTTTCTTTTTTTACATATACAATCTTTCCTTTATAGAATTGAATTAGTCAAAGCTTGAGCGGAGACCAATTTCGTCTCGATCTTGTGTATTCCTTCGAGAGAAGATTCGATATCAATAACTCCGAAGCTCTCCAAGGAACGGAATCAATTTGATAGTTTCCGTCTGAATGGTTACTCAGAAGGGTGATAGCACCCTGGTGGATCCTCTGAAAGGCTCTGGAAGTACGTATGAATTTTTTTAACGTTCCACGCCATCGCAAATTAACTAAATCGTTATGAAATGTATGATGAGTGTCTATAAATATAAATTAACTTTAAACATTATTAACCAAAATTACATGGAAAATATCAAGAACTAGAAAAGAAAATATCTACATAAGAAGAAAGGAAGTTTAAATAACAAACTATGTAACAAAAAGCCCGCTAAACTAAGAAAGCTCTTTTTAAAACATGAAAATATTTTCATCATCCCAACCCATTTCTTTACTCATTTCCAGTAAAGATTCTTTCATTCCTGGTGGACCACAAACGAACAATTTATTACCATTATTAGGACTAGGTAAATGTTCTTTCATCATATCTTTAGAAACATAAGCTACACCACCAGTCCAATCTTTAGGAGGAAAAGTTAACGTATAATATACTTCAAAATTAGGATACCTACTAGCAATTTCATCAATTTCATTCTTTAATAAAATATCTTTTTCAGTTTCATTACCAAAAATCAATTTAATTTTAGTCTGATCATCAGGATTAGTAATGATACTAGTAATAACTTGTAAAATTGGAGTAATTCCTGATCCACCTGCAACTAAACCTAATTCTTTAGCCATATTAGGTTCATATTTCAATCTTCCAACTGGTCCTCTAAATTTAACAGTTTGTCCTTCATTAACTTGAGCAAATTTTCTAGTAACAGTACCATTTTCATAATGTTTAACTAAAATATCGAAAAATCCGGCATCGAATTGATTTGAAATTGGAGAATAGTATCTAATTTCATCTTTCCCATCAACATTAAAACAACAAGCAACATGATGACCAGTTGGGATATCTAATACTTCATCATCATGTTTTAATTTAAATCTATAGATTGAAGTCATTGGAGCAATAATGGTTTTGTCGATTAATTCAAAGTCATTCCATACTGTTTTATGTAACGATGATCTATTCTTATAAGCTTCATAAAATTTAAATGTGGATACAACTACAATAAACCCTATAGTATATGGCATATATTCCCAACCAAAGATCCAAGTACCAAATAACATTAATCCGATTGGAATATAAATCCCATGAAGGGGTTGCTTAAATAATTCTCTCTTGTCTTCCATTGATGAACTGTTAGCTTTACCTTATAAACTCAAACTCTAGAATAAGAAGAAGTAAGAAGAAAGAAAGGAAAGAAAGAAAGGAAAGAACTAAGATGAGTAAACAATGAATCGAGATTGATAAATAAAATCAAAGAATCAAAAAGAAAGAAAAACTAAAAAGAAAAGAAAAAAAAAAAAAGAAAGAACCTGCAAAAAAAAAATATATTTATCAAAAGTACACGACCTGACATTGAGATATTTTAAAAATTATTTTAGACCGATTTATAATTATATAACCGTTTTATTGTTTAACTTACAGATCATGTGACTTTGGACTATAATCAAATAATACACAATTTTATGTATTTAATAAACTAAAGAAAGAGATAAAGAGAATTACCAATAAAATTATTATATATACATAAGATATACATGTGTACATATAATATTAAACCACTAAAAAATCATTTTTCTTTTATTTGCAATCAAAATCATCAAAAAGCAACTATGCACATCTGACTTACTTGGGGGGGTATTAATAAAGAACTATAAGGGGGAGAATAGAAGATAAACAAAAAACATTAATATAACTTAGAAGAAGAATAAAAAAGACAAACTAGCAAAAGTGGAAACAATCAATCAAGTAGGTACAATCTAATATTCTTCTTCACCTTCTGGGAATGAATCAGTACCAACTTCAATATAATCTCTTTCTAATGCAGCTAAATCTTCTCTAGCTTCAGTAAATTCTCCTTCTTCCATACCTTCACCAACATACCAATGAACGAAAGCTCTCTTAGAATACATTAAATCAAACTTTCTATCAATTCTTCTCCAAGCTTCAGCAATAGAAGTAGTATTAGATAACATACAAACAGCTCTTGCTGCAGCTGCTAATTCAGAACCTTCAATGGCAGTAGGTGGTTGATAACAAATACCAATCTTGAAACCAGTTGGACACCAATCAACTAATTGAACAGTCTTTTTAGCTTTAACTTGGGCAACAGCATTTTGAACATCTCTGGTAACAACATCACCACGATATAATAAACAAGTAGCCATATATTTACCACTCTTTGGATCACATTTAACCATTTGATTACCTGGTTCAAAACAAGATTGAGTAATTTCAGAAACAGAATTAGCTTCATGATTAGCTCTTGATTTTGAGAAAACTGGAGCATATGAAACTAATGGGAAATGAATTCTTGGATATGGAACTAAATTAGTTTGGAATTCATTTAAATCAACATTAAGAGAACCATCAAATCTTAATGAAGCAGTAACTGATGAAACAACTTGAGCAATTAAATTATTTAAGGAACTGAAATTTGGTCTAGAAATATCCAAGTTTCTTCTACACATATCATAAATGGCTTCATTATCAACCATAAAAGTACAATCAGCATGTTCCAAAGTAGTATGAGTAGTTAAAACAGTGTTATAAGGTTCAACAACAGAAGTGGAAACTTGTGGAGCTGGATAAACTGCAAATTCTAATTTGGATTTCTTACCATAATCAATTGATAATTGTTCTAATAATAATGATCCTAAACCAGAACCAGTACCACCACCTAAAGAATGAGTAAATAAGAAACCTTGTAAACCATCACATTGATCAGACATCTTTCTAACTCTATCAAGAACATCATCTAAAATTTCTCTACCAACAGTATAATGACCTCTGGCATAATTGTTGGCAGCATCTTCTTTACCAGCAATCAATTGTTCAGGATGGAATAAATCCTTATAAAGACCAGTACGAACTTCATCAATAACATTTGGTTCTAAATCAACATATAATGCACGTGGAACGTATTTTCCTGATCCAGTTTCACTGAAGAAAGTTGAGAAACCTTCTTCTCCTCCCTTTGGTCTATCTAATCCTTCTTGTAAATAACCATCTGGTCTGATTCCATGTTCTTGAGAGTATAATTCCCAACAGGCATTACCAATTTGACAACCGGCTTGACCAACTATATTGTATGTGTGTTAGTAATTTTGTTTGTGGTGCAATGGACGTGTTTTGTCTGAGAAATTGACGGCGTGATCTTTGATCTGACGATTTCAACCACAACAACAACAAAAAACAACCAATGAAATCAAATCAATTCTCAAATGATGATTGGTTAATTGATCATGTGATGATCATCATAATAATATGAACATACCATTAATACTGATAACTTCTCTCATTTTTTGTTAACTTTATTAAAACTTAAATGTGTGTAAGAAGAATGAAAGTAAATTTGAAATCCCTTTTTTCTTCTTTGAAATTTTGTTTACAACATTTTTTTTTCTGTCTGATCATTTTGTATTGTCTGTCTGTTTACATTTTCGTGTTTTTTGATTTTTTGACGCTAATAAATTTTTGAGTTATGTGCAGGAAAATGGATCGTAGTTCCAAATTTGATCAAAATCAAAACAAATCAGATCTAGACTTCCTAATCGAGAAGCAACTATGGCTGCATTTATAACTTAAACCATGTCAACACTTATCCATCTAGAGCAACTTGATTGGGTCAATATTATACATAATGCTATGTACGACTAGGTGAACTAAGTATAAATAAAGGCATCCTATTTCTAGTCTCACTAAGTATGCCCCCCATGCCGTGTTTTTTGAGAGGCACCATTTGTTATATACTTGAGTAACGCATGAATACAGAATGCCACGAATAAAATTCAAGCGACTACAAGAATGGAAGCTAATCATCTCTACAGAAAGAGACCTATTCATCCTGCTCCACCTGTTCAAGCTGTAGCTGCAAAAGAAAACGTACTGTCATAATCAATGAATCCAACCCAGGAGATATAACATTTGAAATTGGAAATAAGAGATAACCACGGGAATTCAGTACCGAAATCTATAATTGGAAATAATTCGACTGGAGATGACTAATGAATATAGTTATAGAAATATGTGGCTGGTTTCTTGTTGTCACATGGTTACTAAGACCCCCCTCGGACTTTCCGAATTGAGACAAAACCGAAAAACCGGTTGCATGTCGATCAAAGTGCTGCAAACAGACTGATATAGATCGCTGCTGCGATTCTCCTTTAGACAACAATTTACCTTATGAACCAGATCTCTGGCAACACGGTCAAATGAATTGGTTGATTTAGAGTAAAATCTATTGCTATCCTTTTTGTGATGAAGCAATGGCTGCAAAAGTGAGCTTCTACGAAATCATATCCAGTCGCTGTGTTTTACTTCACATATACTACTCTAGAAGATAGAGAAGTCACATAAACAGAGAACAAAGGAGTATCATTTTAAATTATACAAAATCAAATAAAAAACACAACTAGAAAATCATAAAAAATGATTTAAACTTATCCCAAAACGTTTCCTTCTTCTTCAAACCCAATTTAATCTGAGCCTCTTCAGCCGTATCCCTCAAATATTCACCAATCGATTTATCCCACTTATTTCTGGCATTATGACCAATAAACAATTTATTCTGAGCTTCTGACAAATGTAACAATTGTGGTCTAGTTAATCCCAGTAACCAATTATAATCATATCCGTATCCACGCAAATATTCAACCAAATCATTATTAGTAAAAGATTGTACGATATAACTCCAACTATCATGGGCTTGTTCTCGGACATCAGTACGGATAAATCCTAACTTATTCTTGATCCAATAGAACCAATGTTGAATGTGGAATTTAGATGAATAATACTTGTTCTTAAGATCATGACTTGTTTCTTTTACATTTTCATATTTGGTTCTCACATTTTCAGTAGCATAATCATATCCTTGCTTCATATAGAAATGCTTCTGTTCGGCACCTTGTTTAGCATGTCTAAGTTTATCTTCGGCATATTCATATTTACCCTGGACATCCGTTACGGCTCGACTCACTGCCGATGAAGCAGCTTTATATTGACCTTTGGCATTTGCAGCAGCTTTTCCAACGACGGATGTAGCACCTTCATATTGACCTTGAGCATTTGCTGCCGCTTCACCAACTACAGAAGTAACATCTGGATATTTTTCCTTTGCGTATCCCTTTGCAGATTCGTATTTATCTTGAGCATTCGCCGCAGCCTCGCCAACAACAGAAGTAACATCTGGATATTTATCCTTGGCATATCCCTTTGCATCTTCATATTTGGCTTGAGCATTTGCTGCTGCTTCCCCAACAGCAGAAGTAACACCTGGATATTTATCCTTAACAAATTCCTTTGCAGATTTATGCTTGTGTTTAGCATGTTTCCAAGCCTTCCCAGCAACGGACGATGCATCACTTGAACCACTTTGGATAGTAGAAAGTGCCTCAGATACAAGTTCTCTAGCTTCATCACCATTGAAAGGCTGAGTCATTTCTTCAACGACTTCTTTCACCTTATACCACCATTCATTGATCCCTTTACCAACGCCAGATTCTAACTTATCAAATTTTTCAATCAAAGCTGGGATTGTAAACTTGATAAAATTCTCGGAAGCAATCTTGGATTTGGTAAGAAATGATTCATAATCATCCGCAGATGGGATCTTTTCAACAAAAGCATTGGAATATTCATACAGCGAGTCCTTGATTTGTTTCAAGGCATCGTCAAAGGAATATTGAGAATTGGCATATTTTTCCTTAGCTGCATCAACTGCATTATTGAAATATTCAGTAGCAATATCATAAGCTGCTTCAATCTGTTCTGGATTAGTTACATCAGGCATCTTTTCTTTTAGATACGCTTGATAATCTTCCAACGTAGGCTGATACTCTTTAAGCTTTGTATCCAAATTATCACGCTTGAAATGTTGAAATTGTTCATTAAACGCATCAACCAATTCTTGTCTAGTTCCTTCAATATTCCTTCCCTGTTTAGCAAACCATTCTTTAATCGAATCAGTTGATAAATCCAGAATAATCCATCCACCATAATTCTCAGGAGCAATAGCATCATTTCTATGGTTTTTAACCAATTCAACCAATTGATGTCTGGTGGTAAACATAGAATATTGAACATTTCTAGCATCCAAAAACGCCTTCAATTTGTCTTTGGACCATTTATTAATCCCAGCCAAGAAAGAATCGTTACCAAGTTCACCTTTGGTAACAAATGGAGATGCTTTAGATTGAGCACTGGCTAACCAAGAATTCAAATCATCCAACAAGTACAGTTTATGGGTTTGGGCCAATTTCACAAGCTTATCAGAATAGAGATCTTCAGAATATATGCCTGGCTTTGTATCAATTATATCATGAAGATAGAGCCATTCACGGAGTTGGGAATATGACCAGGTTTTGAAGAATTCATCCTTAATCAGTCCCTTGGTGTCAAATATTGGCCTGTCGTAAATATCCAATGAATCTAATAAAGAATTCATAGAATCGGTGAGGTAGTTTGATACCGAGGCGCTGTATTCACTTAAGGTATCAATTAATTGGTCACGGGAAGCTTTGGGGTCGAAATTGATTTGATATTTGTTTAACCAATTTTGAATATCAGAATCAGTCCAGGTTGAATAAAGCCAATTACCAGGATAATATTGGGAACCTTGATTCTTTTCAACTAATTTATCAAACTTCTTTTGAATCTGCTTGATTAAATCCGGTTTGGTCATTTTCTTGGAAACGTAAATTTGGTTCTGTTTCAAAAAATTACGTAAGGTGTCTACATCCCAAGATTCAAAGATCCAGGTACTGATTGGTTTCTTGTTGTGGAACAAATAATCAAAAGTAAGATAATCTTGTAAACTATTTGGTGATTGTACCAGGGATTGATAGTCAGCTTTAAGTTTCTTGTACTTGGATTCAAGCTTCTTAGCTTCAGAATTAGCCAATTGAATCAAATCATTGTTAGCTAAGGTGTCTTTGTATTTGATTTTACGACTGTTCAAGAATTGTTTGATATCATTGGTGGTCCATGAATTAAATCCATAATCAGTTGTCGCGATGACTATGAAAACTTGAAAGAATAATAATAACCAATTGAGTACTAACATTGTGTATAGTTTTCGATAAGGTTCAAATTGAGTGTATACCAGTTCAATTTACAATCTGTTATTCATCCTTATATATATTAAAATATGAATTAATGAGGTAATAGCAATAAAGCAATTTGTGGGTTAAAATAAAAAAATGAAAATTCATGATGTCATTACTTTTTAAGGGGTCTTAGGAATGACGCAGGAATTCGCAGCAACGTTAAATTTTTTTTGCAGCAACCACCAAATTGTTAACAAACAGCAAATGTATTGTCAAGTATTGCCATGTGGAACTAACACACATCCTAGTTGGTCGAGAGGACAATTATAAAGTGTTAAGCTGAAATCAGTGAAGTGGAAGCCTAGGCTTCAATTGTGGTTGCAATATCCCTTAAATTATACAAATTTTTTCTATTTTTTTGCAGTATTTTACGCGTGTACTTTTTTTTGGTAAGGATAATCGTGGAACGTATTCGTTGGTCCTTTGAATGAACTAGAAATAGAAAAAGTTCTTCTTTAATCAGTCAATTAAACTTTTGCCCCTTTCGCTTTTTGCACGGAGTATGAGCTTGTGTTGGTTTGTTACGAATTTTCTTTCTAATTGTTGTAGTCTCTTCTGGATCTGCTCCGGAGAGGATACAGTCTTACTCCTGTAGGTAGATCAGGAAAAATGGCCAGCTGCAAAAATATTTCTTCTTTACTGAAGTCATGAGATAAGCACTAATATTTCAAATAATAGCCTTCATTTTTGCTAGAAAATTGTTGTTTGCAGGATTTCTTAAACACCGCCATTAATCTCCCAAGGTCCGCAAATTGTCCGCCTGTCCACCTCTCCCCATCACCATTGAGCTCAACTTCCTTCCCAACTTCTCTATCGCCTCCATTGAACTCCATATCAAAATTTCAATCCAACTCTTCATTCTAGTTCCGAACTGGATTGAGTTAAACCTTCTTCCATTAAAATCAGATAAAAAAATCCATCACATAAACTAACCATTGGTCAGGTGGCTAATTCAGTATGAACGGATTAATTAAACCAATTCATGAAATCCAGTAAGACTCACTCCAAATTGTCTCCACTAATTCTTTTGGATATTTTATTCTTTGATTTTTTGTTTTGTGGTCGTGTGTTTGTGTCTTTACTCTAATAACGGCTAAAGCTTTGATATGAAAGTAATGATTTAAGGTGAAATAAGAAGTGGATTGAAAGATAATGGCAACTGATGCTTCATTCAATGGTTTGTTGACGATAAAGGAGTGGTAATTGTTGGTTGTCATTGGAAGAAGTTTCAATTTTGTTTCTGTGGTTTAATTTCATTTCTGTGAATTAATTACTCTCAATTTTCCCTCTAGCAAATTCACGTCAAGAATAGTTCTTTGAAGAGTCAAAAGCACAAATCATCCCTTTGTTGGATTGATGAGATTGAGATTGGACGAAGATAGTACATGATTGAAATGGTTGGTTTCTTTCTGAAAAGTAAAGAAGAATAAAATGAAGTTAAGAATTCTAATTTTTTCGCAATTTAGGGTGTCTAAATTTTGCTGCAAAATTTGTTGTTTTGATAAATAAAGTTTAAGCCAATAATAATCCACAAAAAGAGTGGCACGTGATGACAAATTCGGGTAACACCTTTCTGAAATACTAACCTCAACATCAAAACAAAAGTGGGACGATTTTTTGTTGACAAAATTGAACTATTTAATAGTTTTATAAATTATAGTAAAAAGAATAGAATTAAGAGAATAGGTGAACAAGCTTTTATAATGCTGATATATCAATCGCACGTCTCAACTTATTTGTAGCGTTTCTGGCCTCGAATTTTAATAGGTTATAATAGCGCTGCTTCCTAGGTTGATAAAAACTCGCAAAATTATTTTATGAAGTCGACGGCGAAGGGCATACCGGTAGGGTATTTTCCTCCAAAATTTTAATCTCATTTGTGTTGGTTCAATTGCCCCTTAATTGAAAAGATGGTTATTTGAATGCTGAAGGTCAATTGCGGTTTCGTATTTACTTTTGTCACTACTTTTAGAAACTATTATTCACATTGAAAATTATGGTACACACACATTATAAACTCCTGTATAACTGAATGTAGATGGAGTATGTCAAACTGGTTTTCGAGTGTTAGAAGGGAGTGTATGCTATTAACATGATAGATATTGAGACATTTTTTGATTAAGAATGTTGAAGCATACAAATATATCAGCCTTTGGGTATATTTTTGGAGTTTATTTGTCATGAACAAACCTAGCTTCAAGCATTCATTTGCTAGAAACATCTTATGAAAAGAAATGAAATATTTCGTCAAATGGAACCATGCAGAGTTGGAATCAGTTGAATTAGAATTGAAATTGAAGAATTTAATTGCTATCAAAACGTTATTATTCTCGGGAATTTGTTCAAAATTTGTCTACGACTACTTAGAGAATTAGCATGAATGGTGTCGCTATTGTGTTCATCATATTGGATGCTCCTATCTATATGGTTACTTTGCTCAATTGAAGAGATTCTTGGTTATAAAGGATCTGCAAACTATGGTGGGGTTATATAATGTTAGGAAGATCTAAAATTAAAAGACCCAGATTGTATGAATTAGATGGAAACGGACAGGATAAAATGATTATAGAAACAGAAAACGAACATATAAAGGTAGATTCTTGGTTGTAAAGGATATATGATCTGTAAACTTTGCTGGGGTTATATAACGTTCGGAGAATTTAAAATTAAAAGTACCGGATTCTATCAACAGATGGAAACGAGTATCGTAAATTCATTATAGAAACAGATAATGAACCTATATACGCAGCTATATATGTTCGTTTTCTGTTTCTGTAATGAATTTCCTATATTCGTTTCCATCTAATTCATAAAATTCAGGTTTTTTAATTTTAAAAATTCGTAACATATATATCTTCATTATCTGTTTCTATTATAATTTTATCATATTCGTTCCCATCTGGCAGTTCACATTTATGTAAGGGATAATATTTCCATAAGTTAAGGATTTGATGTCACTCATAGTCAGATTGTTAAGGATGCAATGTCATTTGATTTGTCTATACACAGTGCATAAGTATAAAGTTAGTTGTTCTCGATTTTTGCCTGCATCTATAATTGGTTTGATGTTAGTCATCAAGGTATGTCCTTGTTACGTTTGTCATCTTACTACTCGTGAGGTTTCCTTGGAGAAGCCAACCTGGTGCAATAGTCCATATTGGACATTTGCCGACTCGATTTCTAATGGAAGATATTGTTTTTGTTTTTGTTGAAGCCACTACACCCTTTGAATATGAACGTCACGAGAAGAGATCGGATCATTATCGCTGTAAGACTTCGATATTCTCAGAAAGAGTTATAAATAACGGTTTCCTGGGCAAAAGAGAATTGTTTTCTTGCACTGTTTAGTCTAACCCCTATTTTAATAAGGTTTAATGACTATCAATCTTCCATATATTGCGATGGTTAGTTAATTAGGTTATGTTAGATTGAAAACCAAGTGCAGCTGGTAGGGTAATTTGTCCTGATACTACCTTCGGAATTACCTTAAATCAATCATCCAATAAGAAGAGAGAAAAATTCATAGCCATGTGCAGGAAGTTGATTGTTTTTTTTTTGTAAAGATCCTACAATTGTTGATGAGACAACGAGTATAAATAGGCCCGGAATTTTCCTTCAGTGTCGAGATACGAACCAAGCGATGTGCAGAACAGCAACAACAACCAATAAACAAACAACAATTCTCCCGCACTTCAATTACATACTAGGAAGCTTCCACTAGTCTAATTGTGCCATGCCCGTTACATTTGGTAACATCGTTTAAAGAGTGCCAAAGGCTTCCGTCTTTTATTCTGTGAGTTCAAGAAGTGCCTATGGAGTTAATAACCATCCACCAAAATGTAACGGAGATGATCTAATTATACAGTGGAAGCAATTCTTCAATGGTGTAGGATATGTTTCCCACATGGCCCAGTTGGTTTCAATTCCTCTGCAAGTTGCTTCCACTGCGAGTTATACCATACAGCTTACTACGAGGTAACGTCGTTTGAATGATATATCAATATTTACATACTCCACTAATTTCGGTGAATAAGATCATTCCTAATTTTTAAAAAGGTGCAACTGGAAGTAAGAAATGCAAGTATTAATAAAGTGTGTATTGATTTAGCAATCATGCGGCGCTACCACGTATAAGCAGTATGGTTAATTTAGCAGTGGAAACAAATCGACCTACAATGAATATAATGGATAATTTGTGACACAAGAAGTAGCTAGTCGCTTCATAGACGTTGAACTTGGTCACCGTTGTATGGAGAATAGTTAGGCTGTTGCTACATATGTACAGTTCTACATTCAAAGATTAAACTGCTAGGAAATAGCCAGAAGCGGGCAATACCAAATCCAACGAATATGATGGAGAGAGGCAAAGCATTTTAGAAATGTGCTTATAGATCTTGCAGATGGCATAATTAATGGTAGAGTTATTAAATCAGTTCGATGGGTTAGTTTCCAGCTGTGAATTTTCGGAATACACGTTACATTTGGTGACACCGTTTGGGGGAATTAGTCCATATTCATATATTCTGAAAAGCAATTATGAATTATATAAATTTTTTCAACCATGCGGTGCTACCAAATGTAACGGAGTATGCCATACTTCAGAAGGTGGAAACCAAAACTTCATAATGGATAAAAATAATGCTAGAGTTCTTTCGAATCAATTTGATTGGCTAGTTTCCACCTGTGAATTTTCGGAATACACGTTGCATTTGGCATCACCGTTTGGGGAATAGTTTAGATATTTCCATATTCATATACTATAGACTTATCAAATTAAATTCAAACCATGCGGGCTACCAAATTGTAACGGGTATACCATAATTCAGTAGCGGAAACATCGAGTACTTCATTATATCAAACTAACCAAATGAAAGAAGACAACGAACCAAAAAACTTCGTCATTTGAAGAGCGAGATATTGCTTGTATTCTTCGAGCCATGACGATTTGAATTAACTTGGGATAACTCAATAAGAGCAGGCTTTTATGTATAGTTATCTCTAATTATATAGTTTTCCTAATAGATATCAGAAAAAGGACTTCGTATGGATGATGAAATTTTCATAAATTATAAGATCTCTGATCATCTCCAGCCTATTACCCATCACAACAAATTAGACGAGTTATTGCAGGCAATTTGAGTTATCCCTTTGTTGTTGGATTGACAAATCGACATATTGTCTTAATTCAATGACATTTGTTTCAATGTTTGTTAGATCTGGCTCGCATATTGTCATTAATGTTTGGATGTAAACTACATCTCATTTACTGGGGAAAGTTATTGTCTGGAGTTGCCATTTCTATAACTTGGTACCCGCAAAAGATGATTCTTTGGAATTGCCTTTTTTGTTTATTCAGCGTTGGACATTTATGATATGTGCTTGGTTCTTTGTTTGATATGCTATGCAGTTATTTCATATCTGAGAGTTCTTCTTCCTGTATTATAAATACAAGCCAAATTTCCCTAGTATTTCACTATTTTGAAGTCATAGTCTCACTAGCTTTAGATTTCTATAAACATGCAATACAGATTTGGCCAATTAAGAAGAACCTTATCTCATGCTAGTCAATCCCATAACATTTCAATTCCTCGATAAATGATGGTTTCCAACTGTGAAATTCGGAATACACGTTGCATTTGGTATCACCGTTTGGAGGAGATAGCTTGGTAGTTTCCATATTCTGAACGCAATTGCGGTATGCAATCTATCAAACTATATTGAACTGTGTTACCAGGTATAACGAGTATGCCCTAATTCAGCAGATGGATACCAACTGTATCATAAATTGCTACAAACTACAAAAAAGAATCTGATAACTTCCAAGTGATTTTTTAATGCTATAGAGGTTGTACGGGGCAACGTTGTTAGTTCAGTCTATCAAATTTTCAGTCTCCGTATCTTGTTTTTAAACAAAGTTTTGAATGAAATTAAGCAATGCGAGTACGGATTTATTAGCTATATGGCAAGAAACCTTGTACGAAAGAATAAAGCTCAACTTAAGAATAGGACCTGGGTGTTGTCAAAACAAATCATCCATTAAAAGAACTCAGGCCCCGTAAAATTAAGTAGAAAATGTCTAGTACAAACCTACTCTAACCATACCTCAAACTTTGATAACAAACCTGTTGTCCAAAGTAGACCCATTCTCGTAATTCATTGACGCATGAAAATCAGCAAGCAATTAATTAATTGTAAGAATGATTCCTCAAGGAATTATCAGAATGAATCTGATTTGAGCGTGGTATGGGTGATTCTTTGACAAACCACTATGGTTTATTTCAGAATCCAATTGCACATCCATTGTGTTTGTTGTAATTTGTATAATTTAAATTGATTAAAAAGAACCATATAAAACTTATACAAATAACTACCAACACCATGTCAAACAATTATCTTTAGCCAATATGGAATCAACCGTAACCAGGTTCGTCATTAGTTATTTCCCTCACCCCAACCTCCAGAATCAACCCGAAATATGCTATCATTCATTCTCCCTTATCATCCTGTCGATGTTTCGCTCTCCCCCTGTGTGGCATAAACGAGGCAACCCCCGACGGAAATACGCCCGTATGTATAAATCTATACGACCTGGACTAGATTAATTCAAAAGCCACAATCCCTTTTAGCACAGCCTTGAAGAATACCCCAGATAAGACCCCGCAAGTACATATATATCATATGATGTATTTTTTGGGAATCTATTATGGGGAACTATAGAATTTTTCTACTGGAGAATAATTTGTGGTGCTTATACGACGATGCTCGTTTAAGTGTCCTTACTAATCTGAGATTATGGGAGATATCAAGATTTCCCAATATCCAAGAAATAGAGATATTGATAAGAGTTCTACAAGAATGAATTATTTGTTGTTTTTGCTATCTATTAATTAGGTTTTTTTACTCATATTTAATATATAATAATAATTTACACCACCATCACCTCTCTATCTAAGCCAGGACAGTTACTTCTTAATTTCATAAGATCTTCTATATTTATCATCAATATCAACCAAATAATAAGTTCCAACACTCAAATGATCAATTTCACCAACCGGTTGATAACTCTTCTTTAAATGACATTTTTCTCTTAATTCAATAGCTTCAATGAATTTTTCCGGTACTTCAATTCTTCTACCTTCACCTAATTTATCATCAAAATTTAAAATCTTGGTAATGGTAGAAATATCTCCATTTATAGTCATTGACATTAATGTTGAAGCTAATCCTGATCCATACGAGAATAAACCAATTCTCTTGCCTTGTAATTCTTCAGAACCGACATAATATAATAATGAAGCTAATGAAACCCATGCTGATGCAGTATACATGTTACCAGTATTAGTTGGGACGGTTAAAGCGGGTGTAACTCTTGATTTGAGGTTTTCTTTGGCTAATCCACCAAATACTTTTTCCCAAGTTCTATCAACTAATGATTTTTCATAAGTTAATGAATTCAAAGTATTTCTAGTTTCTTCATCAATTAAATCGGTGAATTTTTCAGGATTGGATAAATAATCATTATATAATAATCTTGCATAAGATTTAGTAACTAATTTACAAGTTGGAACATGGAAAGCATTATAATCAAAATGATCAAAAACGCCCACGGTTTTATTAACATCACCCGTGAATTTTTTGGAATAATTCTTATAACATTGATCAACCGCTTTAATATAACAAGCCAACGAGAAATGTCCATCAACCACAGGATATTCACTAGTGAAATCTGGTTTATAGAAATCATAAGCATGTTCCATAAATGAACCTCTAATATTATCAAATACAATTGGAGCATCAGGACCAATCAACATAGCAATAGCACCACAACCACCAGTTGGTCTAGCAGCACCTTTATCATAGATAGCAATATCACCAGCAACAACAATTGCATCTCTACCATCCCAAGAATTAGATTCAATCCAATTAACGGCATTTATAATTGAAGAAGTACCACCATAACAAGCATTAACGGTATCAATACCTTCAATATCAGCATTACCGGGGAATAATTGCATTAATACTGATTTAACTGATTTTGATTTATCTAATAAAGTTTCAGTACCAACTTCTAATCTACCAATTTGATTAGTATCAATATTATAAGAAGAAATCAATTTTGATAAAACAGTTAAACTGATGGAATAAATATCTTCTCTATCATTAACAAATGACATATTAGTTTGACCTAAACCAATAGTATATTTACCAGCAGGAATTCCATCAAATTTTTCTAAATCTGATTGATTTACTGCTTGACCAGGAATATAAACTTCAATACCTTTAATACCAACATTGGTTGGACGTGGTTTAGAATCACAGAATGATTGAGTCATTATTATTACTTAGTTTGGATATGGATATGGATGTAATATGGAAGGATAGCAAAGTACTTTAATGAAGAAGAAGAAAGAAAGAAAGAAATGTTTTAAAAAAAAATTGTTGCCAAAAAAATTTCTATTTGTAGTTTTTCTTTGATAGAATTTAAATTGTCTGTCTGAATTTATACGAATTAAACGACCATAACTTAACCAACAAAACGCTCTCTCTTGCAACTTAAAAGAGAAATTTTCTTTTTAAAATTTCTTTTGTGTCTGTCTGGATGTTTTTGTTGTACGTTAAATTATTTTAATAAATTTATTTTTAATTTTATTTAATTTATTTTTTCACACGCGTTTTTTTACACATTACTTATTATGGGTAACTTAGTTAAAAACTGCAAACGACGGATAATTAAACGAATATAGAACAAAGAGAAAGAGAGAGAAAGGTATAACATTAAGTACGACAGACTAATAAAACAGAAGATAACCAAGACAGACATTTTAGATAGATAGATAGTAACAATATAATCTGTAAAATAAAGAACAACGTAACATTTAAGAAAATGTTGAAATAAAAATTTCTTAACTTTTTAAATTTATTTTAAGGGGAGCAGCAATCTTATTACAATTATCGAATGAGAATAAATGTAATTAATAAATTATGAAAGAGAAATTGATAGATTCATTAACTAACTACTAAAGTAAAATTCCAAAATAGGATAATTCCAATTTCTTATTTGAAATATGTGGTAAGGGATTATCGAAACCCCCAATTAGTTGACTATAGATAAAGGGTAACATTTACATTGCATTGTCAAACATTCTTTATATTTAAACCTTAAACTTAAATTTCAGTTTAGTTTAAAACCGTTTTATGTTACAACTTATCAAATTATCTACATAAATGTAACAGACTCGCCTTAACCAATTACTTTTAGAATAAGTCTTATTGATCGTAATTTCATGTCTATTTCATTCTATTATGTAAATGTAACATTGCCTTAAGATAAAATGAATAGANTTAAACCTTAAACTTAAATTTCAGTTTAGTTTAAAACCGTTTTATGTTACAACTTCAAATTATCTACATAAATGCAACAGACTCGCCTTAACCAATTACTTATTTAGAATAAGTCTTATTGATCGTAATTTCAAGTCTATTTCATTCTATTATGTAAATGTAACATTGCTTTAAGATAAAATGAATGGAGATTTCAAGCGAATTTATTTTAAGAAATATCTCTTCGGAGTAACTTATGTCGTAGATTCATTCCCCAAAAGATTCTTAGCAACTATTAGCCACGTATTCTTAAGTATATATCTGGTCTAAATGGAATTATATTATTATTAGTATTAATTGTTAAGTAATTCTATTTTAATAGTAATACTGGTCACATTTGCATCAATGGATTATATGTACAAATAATTTGTATAAATTTTTTACAAAATACTTTGTAATATTGTCATACAACCAAGGTAGGGTATTAAATAATTACTATTTATATACTTGTATATAGATCAATTACAATATTAACCCTAATTGGATTGAATTGAATTATGTTAATGAGATTAAGATATAAGTAAAATGAATAATATACTCTCTTCTTTAATTAATTAGGAAAATAGTAATTGACTATTTATTGGATGAGAGTTTTATGTTAAACTAATGTCTATTCGCACTTTATTATTTAGTAGTACAATTGCAATTAATAATAAAGAATAAAGTATTTGTAATACATAAGAATGTAAACTATGTATGGGACATACTGTATACTATTTCTTAAAGAGAGTTGTATTAATTGGTATCAATAAAAAAGGTATTGTTACTATTGGTTCCTCCTATTACAGATGTCTAATATAATATTATAAACATGTATAGCTTCATTCTTTAGATAGTTTCACCTTCTTAGTAATTCAACGTAAGTGTTCATTGTTATTAGGGATTACTCTCTCTCTCTCTAGTTATTCGTTTAATTGATTATAAGGTTTTCTATACTATAAAGAAACAAAATTTATAAGTGAAAAAGAATAGAATAATAGACATCGGCTATTTTTGACAGAGAATTATTATTATTATTTATTCCGAATAACGGAATATCATATTCCATACTTACATCCTTTTTAAACTTTATTTATGTATTCTAAATGTAATTAGAACACCACAATAGTTACTTGTGTATATACAATATAAGTCTAATAATAATATACTGAATCACGTAATTTAATTAAATTTGTAAAACTGTGGATACTTTATTCTTACTTACTTATCCTTATTTACTTTGTAACAATAAAACGGTTTTTTTTATAATGTACCTTCCGATGTCCCACTTCATCTGAAAAATTTCATTTTTATTGTGATTACAAATACAACTCACTTTCACTTTCTTCTTCTTCTTCTTTCTTTTACTAAGACAAGTATAGTTAAGTGAAGATGACTTCTGCTATTCCAGAATCATTACAATCGTTTGTAACTAATAAATTCATTCATTCAACATGGGCAGGTACTTTCTATTGTAAACCACAAGCAATTTTTCAACCAACCAATTTGGAAGAAATTAAAGAATTAATTAATCAAGCAAGATTAAATAACAAAACAATAATGACAATTGGTTCAGGTCATTCCCCTAGTGATTTAACCATGACTAAAGAATGGTTATGTAATTTAGATAATTTCAATCAAATCATTAATCAACAAGAATTTTATGGTCCTTGTATTAATAACCCCCTGGAGAAAGAAGTTAAATTTGTTGATTTGACTGTAGAAGCAGGTTGTAGAATTTATGAATTAAATGAATACTTAAAAAAACATCAATTGGCTATTCAAAACCTAGGTTCAATTAGTGAACAATCAATCGCGGGATTAATCTCAACTGGTTCTCATGGGTCCACTCAATATCATTCATTATTATCTCAACAAGTTGTCTCAATATCTTTCTTAAATTCCCTGGGTAAACTAATTAATTGTTCTTCAATTGAAAATCCTCATTATTTTAAAGCTATCTTATTATCATTAGGTAAAATTGGAATCATAACTCATGTAACCCTTAGAACAAGACCAAAATTCACCATAAAATCAAAACAAGAAATTATCAACTTTAACACCTTGATTTCAAATTGGGATAATATTTGGTTAGATTCGGAATTTATTAGAATTTGGTGGTTTCCTTATAGTGATAAATGTATTTGTTGGAGAGGTAATAAATCAGATGAACCATTATCATCACCAAGACCTTCTTGGTATGGTACAAAATTCGGTCGATTCTTTTATGAATCCTTACTTTGGATTTCCGTCCACTTATGGCCTCGTCTAACCCCATTAGTTGAACGATTCGTATTCAATCAACAATATGGAAAAGTCGAAACCCTTGGCCAAGGGCAAATCGCCGTTCAGGATTCAGTAGAGGGTTTAAATATGGATTGTCTCTTTTCACAATTTGTCAATGAATGGTCAGCTCCATTAATCCATGGTCCAGAAATCTTATCCAAACTTAAATCCTCAATCGTTGCCGCCTCCAAATCGGGGCAATTTTTCGTTCATGCACCAATTGAAGTCAGATGTTCAAACATGACAGTCTCAAACCTGGCCTTCATCAACGACGAAGGGAATCCATCCCTATACCCTCCTCAATCTTGGCTCGCTACTAAGGACCGTCTAACTGCCGGTCCTATCCCCGGAAATAACCTCCGTCCATATTTAGACAATTCCCCCGTGCTTCCATATATTGAAACAGACCAGCCTACGAATGAAGCATTGTCATTATTCATAAATGCAACGATGTATAGACCATTCCGCACGAATGTAGAGACTCATGAGTGGTTTAAGATCTTTGAAGAAACTTTGGCGGACGTGGGTGGAAAACCCCATTGGGCCAAGAATTTCATTGGGACTAAAGCGGTAGAAGGGGGTGATTTGGAGGAACAGTTGGGATATGGCGGGAAGGAGTTTTATTCTATGAGTGGGTTTGATATGAGGGGGTGGTTTGGTGAGGATTTGGTGAGTTTTAATAAGGTGAGGAGGGAGACTGACCCGCATGGGGTTTTCTTGAGTGGGAAGGGGTGGTTAGAAAGAAATGGTTTACTCTTAGAGGATGTGTAATATCTCTTATTACTAATATACATTGCTTGTTATTAATATACATTACTTGCTATCTACATTATAAAAATATAATTACTAGTTGTTCTCTACTTAAATGGCGCCTTCAATGGATCAATAACGGTACCTTGTTTAGTTATGACTCTCGGCATAGTTAATCTCTGATGTGTCTCCCTACTTGTCCATTCTTGTCCCACCGGCATTCTCAAACTTCTTTCATATTGTTCCCTACTCTCAAATGGGAATGGAACATCACTAGATTGATATTTCAAGTTCTTTTTGTTGACTTTTTCATTTATGATTACATTTTTCAAGTTTTTATCACGACGTTTTTCTTCTTGTACTACCCCAGCAACAATCCGAACCACCTTTCTCTTTTTACGTTTGTTCTTTTTGGAATCATCACCTGCCCAATCTCCCCATCCTGGAAGGGTGAGGTCTTCTTCCTGATCTCCTTCTTCTTGAGCCACCCGTTTTTTCTCGGATTCGAACTCAGCCACGACATCATCACCGGCGAACGCTTGTCTGATTAATTCTTTTTGTTTAAACATGGTAGGAACATCTTCGTCAACTTCTCCTTCATCTTCAGAATCATGAACGGAGGTGAGCTGTAATGTATCGTTGATTTCAATCATGGTGTTGTTGTCGGTGGAGGATTTGCCATGTTTGCGTTGTTTGGATTTTGCGATCTTAGCGGCGGCTTTTGCGAGTTTGGATGAAGTTTGTTCCACGGCGGTGATTTTGGTGGATTTTTGACTTGGTTCGTTGGTGGTTGTGGCTGTCAACCATGGATTTGAATCGTCGGTAGTAGTAGTATCGACTTGCTTCTTTGGTTGAGATGATGATTCCTTGGAGGAAGAATTATCGACGACGGTGAATTTCTTACTCAACTTCCCAGCTAATCCCCTTTCCCTCTCTTCCGAAACCTCCTCGATGGTCCTCTTGTTAACTTCAGCCATCTCATCAACTTGGTCTAATGCTTGTGGCGTATATACCCTCCTCCCCTGATTCTTCACCACATTAACAGCACCACTTTCCCCTTCTTCATCAAATAAATCCAAATCATCGCCATTTTCAAGCTTTCGTAATAATTCCAATTGTTGTAAATTATCAGCTCGATCTCTAGCAGCTGCATTCTTCATAAATTCCATCTCCATAACCCCCTTTCCTAACCCCTTTGTATCAATCTCTTGTTCATTATTATAGTCTCTTTCGATATCGGAAACATCTTCATCCGATCCTCCTTCACCCTCGGGGAATCCCATTTGTTTTTCACGTAATTTCTCCCCCTGTCTCAACATTTCTTCCAATTCGGCTCTGTTGGATGCATCCTTGCTCAATCCCGATTTGATCATCAGTTTGGCCCATGAAGATTGGGTTTTGTGTTTAAGACTCATTCTTTCCTGTGCTCGCTTCAAATCCGCATCATCATCTTCATCTCCTCCTTCCAATTCATCAACGAGTTCTTGATTACGTAATCTTTCTTTCTTTTGGATTTTATGATATTGCTTAGATTTAATCTTCTTAATCCTCTTCGCCCTCTTTTCATCACGAAACATAAGCTCTCTCATCAATCTTAATTCTTGAGTCCGTTTCTTCATCTCTTCAGGCAGTAATTTCCCCACGGCGATTTCTTCAAATTTGGCCTCTTTGGTATCATCAACCAACGCCGATTCTTCTAATACTTTTCCAATCCTCTTCTCCAATTCACTACTCACACCAGATGAACTTTCACGAAACGTAATCGCGCTGTCATTATGAGTTGTGGATGGCGCATTCATGGGGAATTTCAATACCTCAGCCTGTCTGTTCGCCTGAACTGTTTCTTCCCATCTCGATATCTCGCCTTTTGCAATCTCATACGCCGCGCCACGATCATGACGCTGTTGGATCCGTTTAGGTAATGGAGTAGTCAACGGTTTTGATTCCGGATCGATGAGGATGGCGGATTGGGTGATGGAGGTGTCATTGACGGCGGACATCATTTCTTGAAGGGAGAGGGTGGTGCCTTGAGGGGTGGGGATGGCGAATTCGTTTTCGGTTCGCGGTTCGATGATGAGTTTTCGACGATCTTTGGGGAGTTTTATTTTGGATTGGAGGGTGGATGTGGTGGTGGTGAGATTGATTTCGTTGTCATCGGAGGCGTTGTCGAAGATGTCTTCATCTGAGCTTTGGTCCTCTTCTTCTTCAGAAGAGGAGGATTCTTCGGATTCGGATTCGGATGAGGAAGAGGAGGCGGATTCCCAGGTTTCATTTAAGACTATTTCATTCTTCTTATTGTTGGATTGAGAAATACCTTGGGTTTCAGCTAAGTCTTTATCATCCATATCCCAAGCTTCTGATAATGTAACCAACTGATTCTCATCAATACTACTATATCCCTCATCATCTTCACTTTCACTTTCACCTAAATCAATATCCTTCCCTTTGTTCTTGCTTTTCAATTTATTTCGCTTTTTCTTATCCCTAATAGTCTGAGAAAATTTCGAATTCAAAACATCATAATCATCATCTGATCCAAGTGCTTCATCAGAATCCAATTCTTCATCCTCAAATTCATCATCTTCATCATTTGCACCTTCTTTTAAGAACCTACTGGCGTCAAGAATACCATCATGGACTTGTGGACCAGCTTCATCATCGTCACTATAATTGTCCTCATCGGAATCAGATTTATTTTCGGCACGTTCTGCGATTTGGAAAGCATCCAAGATTTTTCTTGAACTTCTCTTTTTGGATGTGGAAGTTGATTTAGCCTTCGGTTTGGCCAGTTTGGTTGCGTTCTTACGAGCCATGATGCAGTGGAATATGGTTTCGTAGAGAGGGTTGGTTGAAACAGAAGATCAAATATGGATAATTATTTTATTTTAAAATTTTTTTAGTGTGATGTGATGAGATGAGAGTGAGGGTGGGTAGAGCTACCAAGTGGTAATAGATTTTCGTTAACTATGAGAGATAGACTGATAGTAGGGAGAAAGATATAACATTTTTTATCTATTCAGGCTAATAGTTACATACGTATATAAGACATGCTAAGGCATGTCTGACTACAACGAATCCAAGATATCATTTATTTCTTCAGCTGATAATTTTTTAAATCGAGGACCAACTTCTTCAGTCCCCTTGAAACCCAATAATTGTTCTTGAGGTTCACTTATAACCGCAATATCCAAATTCTCACCAATCAATTCCCCTTCAACGGCTTCCTTCAAAGCTAATAAACTTACATGAATAGCATCTTCCAATTGTAAATTTTCATTCCATCTTTTTTCCAAGAAAGTCTTTGCCGAATTTGAAGTTTTACCAATTGCAGTAGCTTTCCAAGGGAAATAACTTCCACTAGGATCAACTTGATATAATTGGAATACATTTGAATTCTCATCATATCCACCAACTAATAAACTAACCCCAAATGGTCTAATCCCTCCTGATTGGGTAGATTCTTGCATTACTTTAGCAATTTCTTGAACTAAGATTCTAACTGGAGGATATTCATTATAAATTCGTTTATAATTGGTATGAGCTAATTTACGGGCTCTATCTACTAATACACGAAAATCTGGTCCCATTCCTGAATAAGTCATACCAATATTGGGAGTAATATATTCAACTTTACTACTGGTATCATTTTTGATTAAATGGGAGTTTGATTTACGTTCAGTGGCTAAGACTACCCCATTATCACATTTGATACCAATTGTGGTTACTCCTTGTTTCACTGCGTTTAATGCATATTCAATTTGAACTAACTTACCACTAGAAGCTTATTTGTTAGTATTCATAGTTATCTATTATGGATTGAATGTTTGTACATACCTTGGAGAGAAAGTTGTTAATGAGAATGAATATCTATCAGCCATTTTATATGTTATTTATATGTGTTATAGTAGTAGTTGTAAGTCAATTGTGTACTGAATATTCAGTTGATAGATTAATCTGAATTTGCCTTCCAGATGTGAATTTTGATTTTGTTCACTGAAAAATTGAAAAAAATGAGAATTTTAAGACAAAGGAGTCGCGACACAAAATATGTGTCTTAAAATATCTATAACAGTATCAAGTGTATTTGAAACCAAGTACAGTAGATCATCTTCAGCTTGTGATGATAGGGATTTATTATAAATTAACCGAACATTATGACTGCTTGGAGTATTTTCTGATACTTTGATACTTCACAGATTCCATTTAAAAGCGTTCACTAACCATTCTTTCACATTTGGGTCACCAGTTCAAATACTCGACACTTTACTGATACACTTGACAGCTAGAAGCCACATCTAAAACAAATTATCTCTATTAAAATAAACTACTAAACTACTATACAAAAATATCTCTAAACATCTTGTTTAATCCTCTTCATCATCAGTATCAACAGGCTTTGGAGTTCCCTTTGGAGAACTTAACCATTCAATATATCTCAATCTTCTTCTTTCAGCTTGAGCCTTCTTTTCATTTCTAGTCATCTTCTTCTTTCTAGTTCTAACCTTAATATTAGCCGGAGAATCATCATCATCCGCTCTCTTCTTCATTGGCACTGGAGCTGGAGATCCCTCCTTGCTTTCCCCATCCGCACCACCGTCTTCAAATCTGGCACTATCAACCTCGACAACACCCTTTTGAACAACGGACCCATTCTCAACTATCCATTGTTCAGGACATAACGCACCCACAAACTCATTATTATGCGAAATCATAACCACCCCACCGGCCCATTCTCTAATGGCAACCGCTAACCCACCCAATGAATCACGATCTAAATAATTAGTAGGTTCATCCAACACCAATAAATGAGGATTGTTCCACATAGCACCCGCAATGACAACTTTAACCAATTGTCCCCCAGAAAGGGATCCCATAGGGGTATGATCGGCAATATCTGAATCCAACCCGACATCGGCGAAATGTTTGGAGATGACTTTTGGTGTTAATTCACGATATCCCAATCCTTCTCTCGATGCTTCATGATCATCGAATTTTTGAATCAATTTATCAAATCCATGTTCCAAGAGGACTTCTCTAGGAACCCAAGAATTGTATTTAGGTAACCATAATTTCCATTTAACTTCATATTGGAACGATTTTTTTAATTTTTGACGACCAACCAAAGCTTCAATTGCTCTTTTTCCTCTACCATCACCAATATCGATTTCTTTCGACATCATTTCTTTTTCTTCATCGGAGATTTTTCTGGATTCTTTAAGGAGAACTTCACGATCGTCACCAAATCTATATCTCCATTGTAAATATTGATTGGCAGTTTTTTCTTTATGTTGTTCGACATGTTGTAATGCATGTTGGGCGATATAACCGACACGTAAATTTGGATGTTTTTCAACCTTACCTGAATCAGGCATTAATTCACCAGTTAATAATTTGATCAAGGTGGATTTCCCAGCCCCATTTGGACCCAAGATGGCGACACGGGAAGATAATGAAAGTGAGCATGAAACATTCTTCAATGAAGGTTGAGCAGCACCGGGATAAGTGAATGTAACATCTGACATACGAGCAACTGAACGAGTATTTGATTTAACACCAGTTAAAATCCCTGGTGGAGGGAAGGCCATCTTAACATTTGAATCAGTTAAAGTATAATAAGATTTCCCTTCTGGTTTAGCTTTAACAAATTCTGATAAATTACCTTTATAATAAGCCAATTTTTTATTTTCATAATGAATAATATCAGTACACACATGATCCAAAAATCCAGAATCATGAGAAACAATCAAACTGGTGATATTAGTATGGGTAGTTAAATAATCTTGTAACCATTTGACATTAGTAACATCTAAATGATTAGTAGGTTCATCCAACAATAATACATCAGCTTTCATCAACATTGCCCTAGCTAATTCCAATTTCATCTTCCAACCACCAGATAATGACCCAACCTTTTGTTCTATTCTTTCATCAGGGAATCCAACTTCACTCAAAGCGGCTTTAATCTCCGATTGGGCAACATGTTCCAACATCGGATCGGAAGCAATAAAACTAACTAAACCCATATCAGCTTCTGAACCTTGTAATTTATGTTCAACAAAACAAGTTCTTAATTCATCAGCCGAGGGGAATCCTTCTAATTGCCCCTTGGAAATGGCTCTCATAAGTGTAGATTTCCCGGCACCATTACGTCCACATAATCCATATCTGTGTCCCTTGAGTAATCGTAAGTTAGTCTTGTTTAATAACATACGAGAACCATAAGCTAATGAGAAATCGGCATTTACGATCTCGATGGCACCATCATCGTCTTGGCCGTCGGTGGAGGAGACGGGGTTGAAGAGGGCACGTAAATTAGTGATAACGAGTTCGATATATTGATCTCTGGATTGTTGGGATGATGGGATGAGCATTTCTAAGTATTCTTTGAGACGTTTCCAATCATTAACATGAGCATCACATTGTAAGATTGTAGATAAGTAATTACCAATAATCTCTTCGTCTAAGTTTAATGAATCAGCAATTGGTTGTAATTCTTGAGGAATATCTTTGTAATAGAATTCTTTTGCATGATCCAAAGTGATTCTTCCATGGAATTTCCCATCAGTTTGTTCATTTTCAGCATCTTGAATGACGCTTAATGCTTTGCTTGCCAATTCTCTAACTTCAGGTAATGAAGCATTATTAACCACTTTTTCAACCCCAGGTAATAAAATTGGAATAAATTGTTCAATTTCTCTTTTGTTGTTAACTAATCTTGTTAAATTTTCAGTAACCATAACAGTTTGTCTTAATTGTTCATTACTTGACGAAGACATTTTTAAAGATTTATCTAAAATTGGAACTAATAAAGAAAGTGCTGGTTCTGTAACTTCAGCAACAAATGTTACAGAACTTAAATTCTTAATACAATCAGGTACACGTTGTGGATCAGCTAAAGTATCAACAATTAAATCATATTTATTTTGTAAATCTAAATTATCCAATACTTTAACGAATTTCTTTAAAGATAATAAACCATGTTTTGCCAATTCTGGTTTAAAATCAGTTGATAAATCAGTTAAAACAGGTACAGTATTAATGAATTTTAATTCTAATAAATCAGCAGGAACATCTTCAATCAATCTATCAAATGTTACCAAAGTACCAATTTTAGAATTCCATTTAGCTCCTGATTTGAAATATACCAATAATTCATCTAAAACAATTGAACCTAAAGCTTGAATTGGATAAATTCCATATAAAGAATCAACTGCGGCTTTAGCAGCCTTAGTGACATTCTTATCTTTATCAGCATACATATCATAAGCAGTACTAAAAAATTGTAATAAATAAGCTTCTTTGGGGGTTTGTCCACCAAATCTAATAGCCAATTGTTGAATAATTAATAAAGCAGCTTCTCTAACTAAAGCGGAATTCTTTGGTTTTAATAAAGATTTCAAGATATCATTTAATTTCCATTCATTAAGAATATCTAAATTATCTTGTTCAGCAATTTGATCAATAATAGATTCAACTTCTGGTCTAATTTCACCAATTTTCGACGCTTGTTCAATATTGAATAAATTATCTTGGAAAGGAATATCAAGATTTAATTTATTTAATGCGGTGTTTAAAGAAGTTAATGAAGTAGTTGAAGCATTTGGATTAGGAGTATTTCTTCCACTTGTTGGTAATGATTCTGGTTCTGGACTTATGAATTCATTAGCATTCTGTGAATAATAATTGTTTTGTTTGTTATATCTTCCTGGATTAGCTACGTAACCAGCACCTTGTTGGAATTGCTGATTATATCCTTGTTGATATTGTTGATTATATCCTTGTTGGTATTGTTGATTATAACCTGGTTGTTGTCCCAGTGGTTGGAACAGAGGTGCTTGTTGAGCACTATAACCAAACCCTCTTGGCTTAGATTGAGTTTGTTTCTGCTTCTTAATAAAGTCGTCAAATGATTGTGACATAGCTGATACTTAAACTCTGTTTGCTCTTTAATAAATCTTAAGAAGAAAGAAGAAAGAAGTAATTAAAAGTAAGATTTTAATACCCACGTTTAAAAGATTTTGTTAAAAAAAAATTTAAAGTGAAAAATTTCTTTTGCGCAGAAAGAGAAGAACAATGACAAATCTGTGATGGCCGATAAAACGGTTATTTTTTTAATATGAGCCGCACCATTCCCACTTTAGGACAGATAAACACACACCCATCCCACCACCATTATTACTACTATTACTAGTACCAGTACGACTATTACTACTAGTATCATATTAATAAGTATATTTACAGATTAACTATTAAATTTCTACTCTCTAAATACATTACTCTTTCTCAGTACAAGATTCAATTCAAAAGTCTTATCATCAACCTTATATAATAATTCATAAATACCCAAACTATCATCATCACATGATACATTACTACTATTATTTGGTTGTTGCTGCTTTCCCTTTAATAATGGAGTTGGAATAGTAGGTGCAGCATGTGGATGTGCCTTCTCATTCACATACCATCCTGCAAATGATATATGATGATCACCACTTGCACTACTTTGTTGCTTTCCCTTCATTAAGAAATTCTTGTTATAACTTCCAATCTCTTTGCTTTGAATATTATTATCAGATCTATGAAATTTGATTTGATACACTTTTAATAAAAATTGATTGTTGTTACTTGCAGTCCCACCAATTGCTAATCCAATATATTTTGATTTTTCATTTGTTTTATTCTTAAATTCAATTATTGAACTTGATAAAACTTCTTTAATTATTGATTTTATATTAATTATAGTTTCTTGTTTCGATCCACCCTGACTATCAAATATTAATGCTCTAACTTCTCCATTTTTATAGATTAATAAAAATACACTTACATTAGTTTGTGAATGGATTATTAATGGGAATATATTACATATTCGATTAGGTTCAATATCTAAATCAAATTCCTTAATTAATAATACTTTTGCATTATCATTATCATCATCATCTTCAATATTATTGTTTGTTACAGTCATTTTTGTATGATCAGTTGCTGACATTGAATTTAAATAAATACTAACATTTTCACTATCAAATACATCCAAATTCTCATATTCTGGATCATTAAAATCAATTAATTCAGGTTCTGGACTAGGATGGGGAGAGATTACCCCAACTATTTCATCATCCCCATTGTCATCCACTTCTACATGCTCTTGCTCTTGCTCCCTCTCTTCTTCCTCCGGTTCCGCCTCCTCCTCCTCATCATCAGCATCCTCTAATATCACAGTAGAAGCAATAGTTTCAACATCAGAAAGATCCTCACTTGGACCATCCTCAACCAAAATATTATCATAATAAGATTCCTTATCCTCATCACTCCCATTCTTAATCTCCAATCTAGATGGACTCTCGATCACATCTAAATTATATGGCTCATCAGAAAAGAATTGTGAAATAACAGAACTATCACCACCACCACTCCGTTGTTTCTTATTGGATTTGTTTGAACCAGTCTTGTTGTTAGCAGCTGATATTTCTTGGAATAAGAATGCTTCAACTTGATTGTCTACCGTGTTGTTATCTATCAAAACATCAAATTCATTCAGTTCTGGAGCGATCGCTGGTATGGTATTAGTTTGATCAGGATGAGGTGGGAGATTTATGTAGTTTTTAGATGATGGAGCTTTTAATAGATTCATAATCTCCTTCATTGATTTATTTAATTGTTGTTTTGATTTCTTAATCATCAGTAAATCAATCTTTGGGATTCCTTCACTATCTTCTACAATCACATCACCGTCACCTCCCTCCACCTCTTCCTTCTGGTCCTCCTCTCCTAATTTCAATTTTAAACATCTATTCTCTTGTTCTAATTTATCAATCTTTACTTTCTGTTTATGATTAATGAATTTCAAACTATTAACTTCCCCCTGCAATTGAACAATTTTAAATTTCATTTCTGATTTTTCAATATTTGTCATGATCTTATATCTTTCTAAATTGGTGAATTCTGATGTTAAATAATTAATAACTCCTGGTAAATTATAAACTTGTTGTGATCCACCAACTGATTGATTTTGTTGTTGTTGTTGTTGTTGCTGTTGTTGCCATTGTGTCTGTGGGTTTAGATTGTTGCTGTTGTTGCTGCCATTACTGTTGGTATTACTGTTACTACTACCACTTGATTTATTTGATGCCATTTTGTTATAAGTGGTTATATGGCTATTGATTCATTGGTTGGTTGTAAAATGCAATTGAATATGACGACAACACATTTTTTTTATTTTCTTCTTGAGAAATCAAACTTTCTCGGAGTTTTTAATTAGATATCCGATACATATTAATCGACTTCCTATACAACCAATGAGTTCATTAGAGAAGCCGAGAAGATCAGAATAACATTTCTATGAAACTGCAAAACAGAACTGTCTTTATTAATACAAACAATGTAACTATACAAACTATCAAATTACATCCCCCCCCTCAACATCCCTGGCAAGTCTACTTCTTACAAACCCAATCATTTAAACCATATCTATTCCTAGCAATCTCAATAGCATAAAACTGAATCCTCACAGCAAAAATAGTCCCTTCTTGACTATATTCATCACTCAGCTTCAATCTCAACAAAGTACCAAAATTATAATCCTCAATATCTTTAAATTGTTCACAAAATTCCCTCCATTTTTGTTTTCCAGCATGATTCTTCATACTTTCTTCACTAATATTAGCTACATTTGCTGGATCTTTATATTCGGGAAATGCTTCTAATAAACATTCAAATATGTCTTGGTCGAATTTGGTTAATTTAAGGGTGGAACCTTTGATGGATTCTAATAAGGACCAATAGGTTTCCGCTTGTTGAACCGCCTTGACGGCGAATTGCATTTCGATTTCTTCTAAATTGTCAGCATGTTCGGCTTCGAATTGAGTGGACATGGTTGCTGGTTGTGTTTACCTAGTTGGTCTTGGAAGAAGAGGTGGTGATGAAGATGGATGAAATTTTTTTTTATATTGTTGATTTTTTCAATTGGTAGCAATGCGATGCGCTATCGGTATAAGCCAATGAATTCAAGATTTCGAGTCTTTTCTAGAATGTTCTAGAAAGTTCCTTAACAAGAATATGAGCTATTGGTAAATGAGTCATGTCAAATATAAGAGCTAGATACACTTGATAGTCTAAAGATAGTTTCGTTGGATAAGCAGTTGTACGCTGTATAAGAAAATAAGGGTTCCGTGCGGCGCATATGTCAGTCCTTACTCAATGACTACATGATTTCTGGGAATATCTCCCAGAAGCCTACAGTATCTATATGTACTAGACTAAACACTTAGAAAGAACCTATTATATTCATTTAACCTACTAGTCTTATTCTGTTCCAACTCTCCTTGTCTAAACCGGACCACTGAATTCTTCACGTCTACTTCTCCTTATTCTCCACATCCTTCAATATCCACTCCCCCTCCCTCTTCCCACTATTCCAAGCCCCATGCACACACCCAGCGCCTTCCATCACCGTATGTTCCCCCGCAAACCTCACCCACTCCTCTCCAACACTCGCCATCCCACATCCATCATATTCACCACACAATTGAATAATCAAATCACTAGGCTGGTCATGAGTATGCAAAGCAGCATACGAGCCTCTAATATACGGATTCTTGGTCCAATCCGTCACAATCGTATTAATGGGCTCCGTTATCTTATTTCCACCGGTTGCGAGTTGTGATAGCATGGCACCGTAGTAGGTCCATGCTTCATCAGGGTTGGATTCAAGATATTGTGTGAGTGGGGCTTGGGTGAGTATGACCAATGCTGGAGTTTGCTTCACGGAGGCGTAATTTATTATATATGCTGGATATGTGAATGGTTTTGGACATTCTGTTAATCGTTGTGAAAGATTATTGGTGGTAGTAGTGGATTTGGGAATGGGATCTGCGAGGATTTCGAAACGGTCTTGGGTTGGGTTCCACCATATTTCATCGAATTCGAAGATGACTTTTCCAAGAGCTCCAAAATGGATTGTTTTGAGGGAGGTTTGGATCGGGGTTGGGAGTTGGGGTTGCCAGATGATTGAATTTGGATGGGTTGGGTCGGAGAGTTGTAGGATACTTTGAGGGACGGTTATGATTGCATAGTCGGAGTAGATGGAGAGGCCATTGGTAGTTTCTAGACAAAGACGTTTATCTCCTTGCTTGTTGTTTCGAATTATCTTACGAATTGGTTGATTTAATAGAATTGAACAAGCAGGAGTTATTTCGGAATGTAATTTTTCGATTACATACAGATATCCTCTTTTATTCAAAAGATTACGACCTTGGTGATCCATGATTGAGTATTTACCACTTATGATATCCCAACTTATCCCATACCATAATTCATAATACCTCACTATTCTACCACAATACTTCTTTTGTTCATCAGTTAAAAAATCATCAAATTTTTTGAAATATTCATCCACAATTTCTTCTAATGACATATCTTTCTTATCCAATTCATCATGATAATACAATTCAATAAACTTTTCAATATCCTCGACGACACGATTCAATTTCAATCCACTAACATCTATCTTCCCAGTAGAATCATAGGTCGAAATATCCCGATCATCAAAATATGTATCCCTCCCAATATCAAAATCACTCAACAGACGAACATAATCTAAAACACTATTATTCAAACAATCATGAAACCAAGCAGCTCCGAGATCATAATTTGTGCCTAATTTAGAGCTCAACCTGTCGGTTTTGATACGACCTCCAACATGGTCTTGGGCTTCGATTATGGTGATATCGCCGGGGCCGAAGGGGGAATTGCGAGTGTGAAGAAGGGTTTGGGCTGCTTTGAGACCTGAGACTCCGGCGCCTACAATTGCTACTTTAGTTGAGATTGACTTGGATGACATCTTGGATGTATATGGGGTTAAAAAGAATTGGTATGACTTCGTGGGTATCGAATATTTTTTTTTTGGCTGGGCCAGAGAGTGGGGGTTGAGGTAGACCCTGGTGGAATGTTAGCGGGATATGATCCAAAGAGGAAAACGACGCTGACTATAAATAATGTCTATGCTTATTAGTATATTATTATCTATTTATAGCTTTTATATACAAAGATATGCAAGAAATTATAATCCCAATGATTTTGTAATATGTAATCTGATCAATTTATTATATTCATCTCGATTATCTCTCCACAATTTACAAGCATCGACATTTGCACCACTTTCAGGATTTGGTTCAGCCAACATACTAACCACACTCAATAAGATCTTCTCAATACTCTGCACTGGAGACCATCTCTCTTCGGGACGTTCATATTGATTTGGATCTTCTCCTGGTGGATGTAAGATCGAAATACAAACTGTTCCATCAGCATAGATATTTGGATGTAATAATGGTGGATCAAAAGTTAGAGTAGGTGGACTTAATGGATAATCTTTTGGGAATTGTAATAATGCAGGAAATACTCCATTTTCATATGGGGTATCAGGAGGTCCTTCTAAAAGACATTCCCATTTAAATAAATCATCTTCAGTGATTGGTCCTGCTATTATACCTGGTGGAGGATCTCTCATGAGTTGTTGATATTCTTTTAATAATCTTTTTTGTGCAGTTGAACGTGGTGCCATCTTAAAGGTATCTCTTGCGTTATGTATCTATATATAGGTGGGGTATCTTATCTTGTTTAGATCTGAGTTTGTGATTTGTAGAAATCAGAAGAGTTTAGAACAAGATGGGAATCACAAGAGTGATCAAAACCCAACCACAAGAAAAAATCAAATCGTTTATCTTCAATTGGTAGCGACAATTGTCGTATATGTAGCTTTGGTAGCGATATCGGCCATATAACTCCAAATTTTAAACGTTAAATTTTTTAGTGAAGTCATCAACTGCAACATACAAAGGGATTGCAAAACGCAGGATGGAATTCCAGTATTTAAATGTATAGCTCCATAGACTTGCTTATGCTCTTGTAGATATTTCCACAGTTTGGATGTGTTTATGCCACATATTAAATATTGGTAGCGCAATCTACCTTTTGTAAGAATTTGTGTGGAGAGTTTAATTCTTTTGTTTCGTTCGCTGGCAAATTTGAAAAATTTCATATTTTTCAACAATTTCCATAAGACCACTTTCCCCAATTGATTAATATCTCCCATCAACAATTTGTATCCAAAAATGTCCTTCTTTGTAGCCAAAGTCAAAAACGTATTAAGTGGAGATACAATTGTCCTTACTCCTTCCAAATCAACTCAAATCCCACCTCCAGAAAGAATCTTAACTCTTTCAAATGTTCGTGCACCAACTGATGATTTTGAATCAAAAGAATTCTTGCGTCAATTATTAATTGGAAAAGAAGTCAAATTTAAAGTCAATTATAAAAACCCAACCACTGGTCGTGAATTTGGTGATGTTCAAGCTCCAATTTTTAAATCTTTGACTGAATATTTGTTATCTCATGGACAAGTTAGATTAAAAGAAAATTTCACTGAACAAGAAGGTGATATTTATTATACTTTAGCTGAAGCTGAAAATACTGCTAAGTCTAATCAAGTTGGTGTTTGGAATACTAAACCTGAAAAAGTCGAATTGGTTCAATTGAATGAAAATATTATTAATAAGTCCCAAAAGTACCCACTTAAGGTCATAATCGACAAAGTCATTAGTGGTGACAGAGTAGTTGCCCGTATTATTGCGAATAAGAACCAACACATCTCCACTACATTATTATTAGCAGGTATTAAATGTCCAAGAACTGATGATGCTCAACAATCTGCTCATTTGACTAAAGTTGCTCATCAAGCTAAACAATTTGTTGAAGAGAAATTATTAACTACAAAGGCAGAATTAACTACCTCCATAATTGGTGAAAGTTCTACCGGTGTTCCAATCGCTATTATCAATCATCCTTCTGGTAATAACATTCATGAAAAATTATTAGAAGCTGGATTAGGTGAAGTTGTAGATTGGCAATCTACTTTAATCGGATCTTCAACTATGGTTGTTTTAAGAAAGGCAGAACAAACTGCCAGAGCATTAGGTAAAGGAATCTTTGCCAATGCCAGTGCTCCAACATCTAGACCAGCTACTGGTCTTTCTTCCAAGAATTTGAAACCAGGTGCCACTATTGACAATGTCACCATTGCTAGAGTTATTTCAGCTGATTCTTTTTCAATTAGATTACCTCATTCTGATGAAGAAATCACCGTCCAATTGGCTTCTCTTAGGGCTCCAAGATTGAATGATCGTACTGTTACCAACGATGCCCAAAAACAACAAGCATTAGTATTGACTGCTAAAGAATTTACCAGACAACATGTTATTGGTAAATCAGGTACTCTTTACATTGATGGTTACAGAAATGAAAATAAAGATTTAGGGCTTGAAGCTAGATTTTTGGTTAGTTTCAAATATGGTAATACTGATCTTTCAGAATTATTGGTCACTAATGGATTTGCTACCGTTATCAAACACAATAAGGCAACTCAACATGAACGTTCTTTGAATTGGGATAAATTAGTTGAACTAGAAGAAGAAGCCAAGAAGTCTCCAAATAAGCGTGGTATCTATGGTGATTTAAATAAGGTTTTGACCGTTGGAACTCGTATTATTGATGCAAGTGAGAATTTCACCAAAGCTAAAACATTCTTCAATGGTTTTAAACAACGTGGAAGAATTAGTGCATATTATGTCGAACATGTCTCCTCCATCAATCGTGTCAGATTATTCAATCCTAAAGAAGGTATCAAATTAACCTTAATCTTGGGTGGATTATCTAATGACAAATCCGAAACATTGGGTGATGAAGGACTTAAATTCATGAACAAAAAGTTCTTACAACGTCCAATTGAATTTGAAATCTATGATACTGATAAATTAGGTGCATTTATTGGTAATTTATATGCAAATGCCAATGCCTTATCTCCAATTCAAGTGAATTTGTTAGAACAAGGTTTAATTAAATGTCATGATTTCGCAGTCAATGCGAACCCAATGTCTGCACAATTACTTAAGGCTGACGAAACTGCCAGAGAAGCCAAGAAGGGAATTTGGTCCGCATATGATGCCGGAAAAGTTGAACGTGAATTAGCTGAATCCAGTGCAAAATTGGCTGAAATCAATTTAGCTGCTTCCAAGCCACAATATTTTGATGTTGAAGTTGTGGATGTTGATTCTCAAGGTATACTATCATTCCATTATTTAGATAGTGCTACTGTTCAAAAATTTGCTACTTTCAAAGTTTCATTCAATGAATTCCATTCACAACCTCCTAGTGCATCAAGTGCTTCTGGTGATTTACCATTTAATTTGACTCGTGGACCTAAAAAGAATGAATTAGTAAGTGCAAAATTTGAAAATGGTAAATATTATCGTGCTAAGGTTACAAACTTCGATAAAACAACTGGGAAATATCAAGTTAAACATTTAGATTTTGGTAATGTTGATGATGTTCCTTTAAAATCTTTACGTTCGTTACCAGCTAAATTCAGTTTGACTGTTTATCCACCATTTGCCCATACTACAACATTACAGAACTTATCCTTACCACCAGCTAAACCAACTGACTACTTGACTGACGCAATCTATGCCCTTGAAGATTTGACGTATGATAAGAAATTAGTTCTTAGCGCCTTACCTAACAGTGCTGGTACTGCTGAATTTGAAGGTATTTTGTATGATTCTGAACAATCTTTGGTTGATCCAACTTATACTATTAACAAACAATTAGTAAGCGAAGGTTGGGCAATTGTGAATAATAAGGTAGTTAAACCTGCTGTTAAGGATTATGTTCAAGAATTGCTTAAAGTCCAAACTTCAGCCAAGGCTGATCATTTGGGTTGTTGGGAATTTGGTGACGTTTCTTTCGACGATGAAGACACTTTGTTGTAAACATTTTATAGGTAGTTTTATTTTGATTGCATTTAAATAGCATTGAATAATAAGAGATGAGTTGTTTTTACTCTTTTCAGTTAGTATATTAGTAGTAAGACGTTCTTCTTTGTATATCTTGAACCGTCTAAAAGTTGGTGAAGGCGAAGAGGTTTGTGTATTGTTATTTTGCAACCATCTTGGCAAATCGAGAGCAACTCCAGTTAAGCATCTAGTGAACGTACATTCTCTATAAAATTTCTATCAAACTTAGAATTCGGTAAGGTGTGCTATTAACCGGTGATCTCCGGCAGATGTCAACCATTTATTTCTTCACTAACACTTACACAAGATTGACCCCCATCCGTACCAAATTTCGCTGCTGAACCTTCACGTAATAATTTCTGCAAAAAAAAAAAAAACTAAGACTCTTCTTTAACTAAATTAGAGTTGACTAGAACGCTACCGTAGTAATTGAACACACACATTGTACACTAACACCCCGATCATTAATTTTCGATTAAATATCCTGAGACTCCCCCAGTAATTTCTGAGTTGATTTCTTTGACTTTATTTTTTAACAACCTAATCAGTTTTCAAGTCATCACCCTTTTTTTTGTTTGCTTGCCAAAACCTCCACAGTAGACGAATCATCCAATAGTAGTTCAGAATAATAAAGCATTGTATTTGACAAAATGGATTTAACTGTGGAAGCATTGAGTTTGTACTCAAATGGAGTCAGAGATGAAGAAGAAGAGAGTACATTGGTTGAAGGATCTCCAGATTCAATAGAAGTAAGCGATAGTGTTTCCCAATCCGGACTGCCCCAGCAATCAGTAAGACCTCAACAA